TTTAGAAAACATCATTGACGTAGAACAGTATCAAAATAGATGGATTTGTAACTTTTAGTCAGTCAGTAACAACGTAGAACTTCGTGCGTACGTACATCAGTTCGAGTTGCCACACCACATTAGCACAGAGATGCAGTTGTCGATTCAAATCCCGTAGTGGTAGAGGTAGTAAGAGTATAACCAGTAGTCGGAAACATCAGGGTTTGGAGATGTTATTTAAAGAGTATAATCCAGTGAAATCTATTTGGGAAGAGAAAAAAAGAGATAAGGAGGAATCAGGAGATTAGAATTTGGAAGAACACAGAGAGTGGATGCACCTACGCCATTGCAAACGATTTTGAGCCATGTCATTCAGGGTCTCTAACCATCGGTTGCTATCATCTCGCGGTCCCCAACCAGGTAGTCTACACCTACCAACATGACTCAGTTCACTTGTCAGTGACTTCATGGACTTGTGCCATGTTTTGGTCTGACCGTCCCTAGCTTTCTTCCAACCTACTCTTATACCATTGAACATCGCACGTCGAGGCAGTCGGTCGTTGGGCATACGTAACACGTATCCCAGCCATCTCAACTGATGAAGTTTCACCACTTCATCAATGGATTTGCCATCCTTACCTAGTACCCGTTTCCTAACAACTGCGTTACTTACTCGATGCTCCCAGGATATACGAGCAATGTTTCGAAGACACCTATGATCAAATAATAGTAACCTACGAATATCTTCTACTCTTACCGGCCATGTTTCACTGCCATAAAGTAGGACGGAACGAACTGCTGCACAGTAAACACGTCCCTTAGTTGATAGACGGATATCTCGCCTACTCCATAAATGACGCAAGTTGGCAAAAGCTAGTCGAGCCTTCTGTATCCGTGTTGAGACTTCGTCACACACCAGACCACAAGGGCTGATGAGACTTCCAAGATAAGTGAAGCGGTCGACACCCTCAACTACTTCACTCCCTATCACTAGTTCGGGTGTCAATGTAACCCAATCCTGCAGCAACATTTTGCATTTCGAGGGGGAGAATCGTATCCCGAACATGCTTCCATTGTTGCTTAGACTGGTCAGAAGACTCTGCATTTTGTCAGCGTCTTCACCAAATAGAACTATGTCATCGGCATATTCCAAGTCAACAAGTGAACCTTCCGGTAGAAGTTCAACCCCCGGAAATTTAGATGAGGAGAGTGTTATCTTTAAAAGTACGTCGACGACAAAGTTGAACAAGAATGGAGAAAGTGGGCAGCTCTGACGAACACCACTTGAGGTAATCAATTCTGATGACAGTTCGCCATAAGCTCTCACATGACCAGTTGTGTTCGAGTAGAGAGCCTTTATAAGGTTAATGTACTTCTTTGGTACTCCTTTCAGTGACAAACACTGCCATAGAACCTCACGATCATCAGAGTCGAATGCAGCCTTAAGGTCGAGAAATACTACTATTGTAGGGCGTCTGAATGTGTGTCTGTGTTCTAGAACCTGACGTAGTGTGAATATCTGATCTATACAACCACGTCCAGGTCGAAAACCGGCCTGGTTTTCTCTTGTCTGTTCTTCACGAGCTTTAGTTAGGCGTCGAAGTATTATTGGAGCTAATATTTTAGACACTATATTAGTCAAACTGATTCCTCTGTGATTGTCCTTTCTTATAGACTGGCACAATCAGTGATTGAGACCAGTCAGATGGGATTGCGTCCAGTTCCCAAATTCTACCTAAGACCTCAGTTAATCTCACTGCTAATGCTGGACCAACATCCTTAAAAATCTCAGGAGTAAACCTGTCAGGGCCTGCTGCTCTCTCTTGCTTCAGATTTCCTATAGCATTTTCAACTTCATAAAGAGTCCGAGGACTTACATTAACTTGCCATTCAGGTTGACTAGAGATCGTGGGAAACCGAAGTGTGGCTGAAGGCCAGTTGAACTGATCTCTAAAGTGTTCTGCCCATCGATCCAATCTCCTGGATTGAGAATGAATAATATGTCCATCTTTCTCTGAGTGTTTCTCTGACAGTCGGGTTCCTTATACCGGTTTCCTTAACGAGTCTGAACAATTGTGTGCTATTACCTATTGCCGCTGCCTTTTCCATCTCTCTTGCTTTCGCTACCCACCACTGTTCACGACCACTGCGTAGGCTTCTTGTCAGCTTGCGCTTAAGCTGACTCCGCTCTTCATTATGTTCAGAGTCAGGTGGAATGAGTTTTCGAGCATCTATCAGTGTGATAGATGCTGCTGATATCCAGTGTTGTTCCCAGACCCTACGGTTTACCGTACTAGCAGATATCACTACTGTTTCCACAGCTTTTCGGATATCATTCCATGCTGCATCGGGGTGGGCATCACATACATGGCTGCCTAACTGTTTTCCTAGTTGTTCCTGAAATATACTCTTAGTTTGACTATCATTAAACAGGACCCTAAGACGTTCCCTTGCAGTGTCTTTCTTACGTCCAGTAAGACGCAGGCAAATACGCGCTCGCACTAGAGCATGATCTGAATCTAAGCATGTGCTCCAGAATGAGCGACAGTCTTCTATCGAGACCCTCCATCGGTAGCTGATAGCGATGTGATCTATTTGGGTCCAATGTTGGGACAAATTAGGGGGTCTCCATGTTAAAAGCTGTTTTTCCTTATGCTCCAAGTTAGTGTTTGCAAGAAACAGGCGGTTATCTGAGCATAGCTGCAACAGACGGTCGCCATTATCTGTTCTTTGAGCCACGACAACATAAGATCCACCTAGGTGTCTTTCCCTTTCGCTCAGTTTACCTACTTGAGCATTAAAGTCACCGGCCACTATTACTACATCCGAGCGCCTAGCTTTTCGGAGAAGGTCGGAGAGCTTTCTGTAAAACTCATCTTTCACATCATCTGAGCTGCAGTCAGTCGGAGAATAGGCAGAGACGACGAAGAGGCAACGACGAGTGTCCCTATCTTTCTGAGTCCTTATTGTTCCGTTTGGTCGGACAGCGCACAAACGACTGTCTACTGGGATCCAGTATAAGAGAGCTAGTTTTGCCCTAGGACTTACGCCGGCGAGTCCACGAGAAGCAGCATCAGGGCTTCCAGATACACGAAGTGTGAATCGAGTTGGTTCTTTATTTTGAAATGGTGAGGTCAATTGAATGACGCTACTCGGGTCCTGAATACACGTTTCGGAAATGCAGCACACATCGATGGCGCGAGATTCTAAAGTCCTAGCTAAGGAAGCCTGTTGTCTTATTTGGCACAGTGTCCGGACGTTAAAAGCTCCTACATGTAGTTTAGAGCGTGGTTTCAGGAGACCAGGAATAGCGTTCCGCGTATTCGAATCGTTTGCCCTAGCGGTGTGAAGTGATAAAAGGATGTGAGAAGGGTTAATCGGGGAGATAAGAGAGGTATTAGGTGTAGGAAGGATTTGAATGTGATCAACTTGGTCTTGTGTGTTGTTACGGGTATGAGGGTTGGTGTCACTTCCCGGCTGCCCACACCGTGGAAAAGTATTTCTTGAGGAATTTGAAAAGGAAGTCGGATTAATGTCGGCCTTAACGACCCGGGAGCGTGACCGCAGAGCCCACGGGACAACTGATTGAGGCCGGTCGCGCACGGCCTTTTTGTGGGACGTTTTTGATGTGTTAGCCCCGTTCTTCAAAGGGCCTTACCACCGGAGACGGAAATCCGTGAGGTAAGGTGAGGTGTGACATTTTTAGGGTCGACCTTTTCTAACTCCTTCCTTCCTTGTGGGAAGGCAGCATCGCTGCAGATACTGGTTGTCCGAGGGAAACACCCTACTGCTGTCACACCTCTCTACAGTCAGCAGTACGACTTCGCCCTCAGACCTTGAGTTGCTGCTTTTAGTCTTACCGTTCTCCAATCGACCTGCCTGGCATGGTAGAACCTGCAGGAACATATGTTCTAGCCAATATAGCTCGGTTGGGTCATCACGATAGGCAAGCCCGACCACCGCGTCAAGGTAGCAGCTGCAGTCGGGGGTTTGTAACTATGGTAAAAATCATCACGAGATTCATTCTTGGATGTCGATTCTGTTTGTATGTACTAATTCATTTTAATCACGACTAGCTAGTGTACGCGATCTGTGCCACAGTAGGTACTCGATAGAATGGCGAATTCCCCCGGTGCCCAATCTACAAACTGCATATCACTCAGTGAAGCACTGTCATTGAAGAAGTACAAATTTCGCCGAAAAAACTAACTGAATAGCTATTAGCTTACGATACCGTATCAGAAAACAAAGTGAAACCCGATGGCCATTTTGTTGATGTTAATCGGTTTCATATTCAAATGAAAGTTTCACAGGTTTGAGATATCAAATATGCGTCTGTCAATCAGTTATCTTTGATATATAATAAAACGATCAAATAATTTAGTTTTTGTGTATTCCTAAACTTGATTTTCTTGAATTTCATTTATTTAACTTTAGATTTACATTAGAAAGTTTTGTTCATTTAAGTGATATTAATTCAATAGTAATACTGAAGAATTTGTATAGGATTATTCTGCCCTTATGGTTTAGATCAAATGGGTGAGTTTAGATGTAAATGATCTCCGCATTTTGATTCAAGGTTTGAAATTCCAACCTTTGAGGTTGATATTCAAGAAGATACTTCATATGGTAAATGTTTGATTGTTTAACTGGAGATGTTTAGTACAGTCCTATCTAGGATTTTGGGTGTCCACTGTTGAGGAGGGCAGACTGCATCTGATTCTGCTGTTTCTCGCATTAACATCGGTTTCTGATAGAAACTATCCTTAAATTGAACTACGGTCCACCTAACCAAACAAAATATACGTATGTTTGTATCAACCATTATTAGCTATTCATTTAAAATTTTTTACAAAAACCTAACGTACTTAAGTTTCACTCGTGTTCGATAAATAGGGTGGAGATAGATAGCATAGTAGTCAAGTAAACTGTTACATTTTTATTAGCCAATCATCTTAAAGTAATCAAATTATAATATATTAAATTAAATGTACTATTTCATTAATTTAGAAAATCATACATTTTAACAGAGAATAATAATAATAAAGTATGAGAGTAGAGAAAGGAACTAAACAATATCTGATCACTGAATTATGTTATAATAGTGACTATTCTAAAAATTTGTTCAATTATCATCTAGTTACTTCAGCAATTCGTATTACATACTAACTTATTGAAATGCCATGTATACGTGATCCATTTCCATGGTGGTTGCCATTAGCTTTATCATGTTCCATTGTATTGATCACAATATTCATAGGTATATTTCGTTGGCTATACAAAATTTATTCACGACATAAACGTCTTAAAATTAGATCATCACGACAACTCATACAATATAAACAATTATCACCAATGTCCATTGATAATCAACGTACTTTAAGTCTACAGAGTACAAACGATGATGTAACAGATGATTATCCAAGTTTATTTGCCGATCATAAAGATGATCAAGAATTTGATGAATTTACTGAATCTGAGGAAAATATTGATTCAATGCATAAAAACTGTTCACCAAGTAGATATTTAATAAATCGTAATAAGAAATTACGTCGCATTAAAACAATGAGTAGTAAAAAACCTGATATATCAACATTACCAATAATTAAGATTAATCATATACATCTGCCTCACCACCACCAACAACAAGAGCAACAACAAGAAGAACAACCACATAAACCGTTATTACACAAGAGTAATAGTGTGAACTCATCAAAAACACCTTTATCTGATTTACAATCATCTCCATCCTGTTTGGAAACACAAAGTGATACAACATATATCAATGATTTTTTCACTGTAAAACCAACCAATAATGATATATTACTGTCGGAAAACTCGACTCCATCTTATTGGGAAGAATCAGTTCAATGCAATTGGTTTGTTAATTGGTTTAAGTATACTCGTTTAGGTATGTCAGCTAGACAACAACTGAATATGAAATTATACTGTGAACGATTTACTACAGTTTCATATCCAGCTGGTAAAATAATGGTTAGTGGGAATTTTATTTCGAACTCTTTCTTCATAGTTTTATTTATGATGTATGTTTTTATGCTTTTTTTGTACATGCGACTTAAGAAGTTATTTGTCATTTGGTAATAAGTGGATATAATACAAACTTTTAACATAGCGTTGAAATAACTCAGAAATGATTTTGATTATAGTCATAACTAAAGTCAAGAAAATTTTAATCTTATAACACATCATTGTGAAACAAAAAATATTTATCCAATGGTAAAGATAATTACCAGTATAAGATTGTGGGGATTGTTGAGCTTTTAATTGAGATCATAAACCTATAAGTGTTAGACCACCATTGAAAACCTGGAAGCACAGGATGGTCGTCTTGTCTTGGTATGGAACTCCTTAAAAGTGTGCATCCACACTCCCACACACGGGAATCAAACCCAGGATCTTCGGTTTCGCACGAATGCCTAACACCATCGGAACGCGGCTCAGTGGTCTGGATGTTAAACGTTCACACACGAGACCGAAGGTCCTGGGTTCGAGTTCCGTATTCGTGGTCGTGGATGCGCAATTCTGGGGAGTCCTATACTAGGACGAAACGACCGTTCAGTGATTGCTGGTTTTCAATGGTAGTATTACATTGATCAGTTAATGATCTCAATAAAAGACAATTATGCTGAGTAAAGTATGAGTGCATGAATTATTTGAAAGTGTGATATTTTAAAAAAGTTTCAGAAATTACTTCAAATTTCATAACAAAAATCTGCTAAACTTGAAAATAAGAACTACGTGATAATGATTCAGTGGTCATTAGATATCCCGTTCATTGTAAAACAGGCAGGTCCTGATTTTTATCGAGTATAAATTGTAAATCCACATTAATGAAAGATCTAAAACTATACAGAAACATGCATTTGGTTGTTAGTTTCAAATTAAAACCTTCACTATGCAATATTTAACAGTTATATTGTGTTGTCATTAGTTTAATGAACTGAGGTTGCTGTCACATTTATTTTATATATTCAAAGTATTGAGTATATTAGTGGTATGTATGTAAATTACATTCACCTACCTTTAAAATTATTCTTGAAAGATATAAGGTAAAAATATCTAAGTCAGTATTTTAATATATTTTAAGCCTTTTCTTATGGTAATATTTGATCAGTATGGTGGTTACCAAAACTTATAACTTTAGTGCTTTAGACAAAGCAACTCTGGATTGGAAAGAATTTAGAATTGCAAAAATGAAAGATCAAAGTTTGGACAATGCATTGATATCTAGTCAGCGTTTTTTAGTTAAGATTTTTCTATGGGTGGAGTTGCCGACCCCATGACCAACCCTCCTCCTATGCCCGGGATTCGGACCGGCAGTAACTCCAGAAAAGCTACAGGCGGAGTTGCATTTATATCTAACCAAACTAATATTAATCATCATAAATTAGTAATTTACGTAACTTGAAAACGACCAGTGTCCATTATAGACGAATCGGTTATTTATAACTTTATCATAGTAATAATAATCATGTCAAAATATTATGTATCAGTGACCTTTATTCATTGGATAAAGTCATATCTAAATAGATGATCATGTTTAATTATGACCCACTTTGATGTATAACCTACCCAGCTTGTAAATGTTAACCATAAAATGTGAAATAGAATGTACAAGTATTTGGAATTGATTAAAATATCAAAATATCTGGCAAGTCAGAGCTATTTTTTCAAGAAGTGATTTTACCAAACTATTAAAGTGAGAGTATAATGTTTTTAAAGTCACAAAAACCAACGAGATCGAGACGTACATTACGAGAAGTTATATCTACACATATAATCCATAAAAAAATTAAGAAGGGACAAATACCAATCAATAATATGGTCAGTGTATAAGTTTCGTTTCACTGAAAATCGAGGAGCTTCAGGATATGGGAAGATGTTAGATTTAATTTTAGTATGCACTTATGAAAAGTCCTAAATTATACTGAAAAAGATTAACAAAACTCCCTGGTTTTCAATGGTCATCCAGACATTTGTGAAATAAAGCTTGTAAAATTAACTAATTCCATATGTTTATCGTACTCGAAATAAAAATTCGAATAAATTTTACTCTATAAGCATCCTTTAGAATTGAATAAGTTTAAATATCTAATCCACCTTCATCTGGTTGAACCAACCCTATTTTTTATAAGACACGAGTATTTTCTTATAGATCTAATAACTTTGTGATATATAGAAAAGAGATTGTTGTGCTCATTTATATCACTCCTATAACTTTGATATGTCAAGTAAATAAGGTTTCTTTTTCGATGTTTTATAAATGACCAAAGTTTTTCTCAGATTGGTATCCTGATCCTTACCGGCATAAAATCATATGGATGATGTAATAATCAACTGAAGCAACCATTTAATGTTAAATAGCTCACCATCGGGCAAAGCGTAAATTATTTAAGTTATCTGGTTACTTTCAGTTAATTAGTACTAACCAGAACAAAAATAATACCAACTGAATTCATGTGAATTATTTTCCAAAATCTTAAAACTGACTAATACTTGAATGATAAATAGCATTAGTTAGCATTCAAGAAGAGACAAGACAGATAAAGTAATACCTAAAAACGACTATTTTCCGTAAAAATAAGAATTAAAACCAAATAGTGTACGAAAATAAATCAGAATCCATTCAAAACTGGAATTCCAATTTTGCCATGACAATTGTGAAATAAATTCGTGACAGATATCGTAGTAAATTGTTAAATTATTTAAAAGTGTTTTTTTCTATGTAGATTAAAGTAAATTAGAAACAAGTTCAAATACGTTCACCGGATAGTGAATTTATATGAACTGATAATCCAATTGCTTAGATAGATACCTAAAATATAGTTTGGTTGGATGTATCACTAAATAATTTGTTTGAATTGCCTTTATATTAAAAACATTTTGTTGACCACTGTTCAGTTTGTTGCTCTGTAGAATCCTAGTTAACCGTGAGGTAAACAAATTGTTAAACAACATTTTACTCTTTCAAGTTATCTACATTTTGCTCACATTTTTCCTAAAAAAACAATGAATTATGATATAACTAAATATCCGATTTAAAAAAATTCCAACTTTTATGAATAATTAAAAATTTCAGCTGTTAATGAGATAATAACTGGCAAAGTTTTCAATTATGTCATAAGGCTAAACTAGTTAGACTTGGAATTTTCTTTATTTTAACTACACACACTAATATGATTGTTATCATTGATAATCAAAGTTTTAGTATTCATGAACACATATTTTAGTTTATAGCTATCGTTTTTCAGTATAAAGTAGCTTGTAACTGTCTAGTTTACTGTGTATCATTTAATAAAATAATGCGAATAACGAAATTACAAATAAATGGTTTCATTGATGTAAATAAACACTGTGAGTGACTAAAAACTATAATATTTTATGACTGAAAAACACGCATTAATTTTTTTCTGATTTTAAATAACTGTTGGTTGAATGGTTTCGCTCTCTATACAAGTCTCTGCCAATTATACTAGATTGTGATAAAAATTACTTTCCATTTTACATATTATGTCTAGACAATTAGTAAATCCGCTGATTATCTAGCATGTAAAAGATGCAATACCTAAATTGTTCTCAACAGAGAGAAAATCCACCGAGTGTTGTCTTACACATTAAAACCTGTATTAGGCTCTGTTAGTGCTTTTAGTTCAAACTACACGTGTATTTGCTCAAATAAGTAAGAAAAACTCAAGCCACCTAAGATACTTTATATTTAAGAAGAATGCAAATGTAAATAATTCTTTCGAGACATATTTCAGACGTTATCACTACACAAAGTCGATAATTATTTAGGTTAGGCTCTTAATATCCTGATTAATATGTAACAGTACCCCATAGTGAAACGGACTTTGATAACAGATTGGACAAGTATAAGAATACTAAAGCCCTTAAAAACTCTGAAATATTGTCAGTAATGATATATAGATGTGCTTATCAATAGTACGATTCGACTAAGAAATATCTACGAATCTGAAAAAACCTATACAGGATCATAAACAATCCTGAGTCTTCAAATCTACCAGGTTGAAAAAGATTGATACAAATATTAATTATAAACACCTCTCGCTAATTTATGTTCAAAAAATACCTTGAGTGTGAACTGTAGTTGTTCGCAATGAACAGTTTTCGCAGTCAAGATATAATTTTTGATCTCAGCTAGATTGGAAATATTATTATAAGTATAAAGTGTGGTGATAATTTTAAGCGCGATTCATCTGTTTCACGAATGAAATACAAGAGTTGAGGCCAATTTTAGTGAAATGTTTATGCAGTTTTTGTAAACCAAAAATAGTTCCACTATATATATATATATATATATATATATATATATATATATATATATATTCTTCTTGTAATCTACAAGGTGGTTACATTCAAAAACTTATATTTTTCGTTATGTCATAATTCTTGTTTTAGTGTGAGTTAGTTTAATAGTTGCTGTAAAAAATTGTGGCATCATAGATATGACTCAAACAATAACAAACCCTCATCATCGATGTTATAACTGTGAAATTGAATTTCAAAAATAAAAAATGTGATATTTGCACGACCTAAGGATGAAAATAATAAAAAAACTAATGACAGATAAAGATTTCGTTCACTTTTCAGAAATCACAACAGACTCTTTAGCCGAATATATTCACTTAAATATATATTGTGGGAATAAGGAATGAATTTTACACTGAGTTATTGCAAAATGTCATCTATGTTATACTGAACAAATATTAAAATGAATTAGTACAAATGAATGTTAAACTGAAAAAAATATGCCGAAATGGAACACGATTTCGCATTTTATCCCGTTCTAACAATAGGCATATGATACGGCGAGAATAATTTCTTATAAGATGTCTAAGATAAATTGTAAATACTTTTAAATTGTGAATTGTTTAACTGAGTTTTAATATATTCTCTTGCGCTCTCAGATAACCTTAACGAGTATTAATTTTGTTAATGCATCCTTTCATAAA